TGATTTGAGAATTTTGAGACCAAACACCCACCCAATCCGAAGAAAAAATGCCTCCACCATCCTGGCCAATCTGCAGACTGCAAGAATTGCTTCAGTTCAGATCCTCTATGGACCCCCCCCCCGCCATGTCACACCACTCATCTTCAGATCCTCCCGCGGCCTGTGCTGCAGAAGTAGGAGATGGGCCCCACAGCTGCAATACGCACCAGCATCTCAAAGGAGAAGAGGAAGGCATACCTCGGTGGTCGAAGCGCCGGCGCGCAGCGCCGCGATCGAAGAGGAGCCAACGAAAAGCGCCGGTTCTTTCTTTAAAGAGGACCTACAAGCTAAGCCAGACCATCCATGGGACTGGAAGTTATAACCTACATTGGGGTCGTGTTCATGGGGTACATGTATATTGTAACATGGATGATGGATGGTCTGGCTAAGGATGCTTCAATCAAGAGAACCCTCCCAAGGATGCAGTGTTGAGGATCGGTCGCGGATTTGGTCAGTGACATGCTGGGGCGGTAAATCAATGGGTGGCAGAAGATTTGAGATCGAATGACTTCACGACACTGAACATTCGATCAGATCTCAAATCTTCCGCCCCGCGTTCCATGATAAAGTCGATTATGACTGTAGCAGGAGAAGCGAATGAGTTTGTTCAGGAGTATCGACAGAGTCTCCCCGACGTCCTGCTGTTTTGAGTACATTCCTGGAAAGAGACGAGATGCCGCTTCAACTATAGAGGTGACGCAAATTGTGATGGAGTTACTGTTGAAGCCGGTGAAAAGACATTCAAATGAACGGTATACCCTCCCTGAAAGAACTGGAAAATGACGGAAAGAAAAACATCCTATTAATCTTTCGTATCAGGTGGCGCCAAAAAAGGCCGACGCTCGGCAACAAAAACGACTCGATGCCGCTGTGGGCACGAATCTGGACATTTTGGAACTGGGGGGGGGCCACGGACGTTTGCATAAATTCCAGGACTTTACATAGCACACGTGTCTTTGTTTCTAGACTTCCCGCCTGAACACTTCAGGAAGGATCTTGATCGCATCAGTATCGAATGCATAAGGCATAGGATGATATAGGATGCGTATCCCTCTGTAATCCACAAAGCGAAGAAATGGACTGTGTGATGCATGAACAAAGTACAATCAAGTGCAAGTTTGTTGCATGTATGCACTGTCTGAATCGGTATGCACAGTACATGCATCCAGGTTGGGTCATCTGAGAGCGTGAAAGAAGGACCAGGCCTGAAGCGCTGCTGTTCTACCCCATGACCAAACGGGTCGGCACAAAGCATTCTGCAAATTGAGCTGGCACTAAAGGCATACCGAAGGAACCCGTCGAATGATGATGTCAGGAGTTTGGAAGCCTCTTCAGACACGTCGTGCAACCCCAAGTCCCATTCAGCACACATGAGTGTGTAGCTCAAATACAGAGACCTCCCAGGCGTTCCCACTCTGTAGGAGTTCACCACTCTAGAAACATGGGTGAACACTTGGGGGGAAAGTCGGTGTGCTTGCAGGTTGCAAAAAACCAATTTGGTGGTCCAAAAGTTTGGCCACTGCCATTCTTCTTTCCATGTTTGGGAAAACGGACCACCACCTACGTGGATTTGAGCGTGTTTCTCCTCCCCAAATTCAACATGTCGATGGACAGTTGGCCATCGACAAGAAACAAAGATTACAATCACCTCCCCAAATTCAACATGTTGATGGACAGGCCATCGACAAGAAGCAAAAATGACCAAACACCTCCCCAAATTCAACATGTCGATGGACAGTTGGCCAGTGACCAAACACGTCCCGAGGGAGGGGGAGACACAAGGACAGACAGAAAAGGGCAAGAAATGAAGAGCGAACAAAACGACAGCAAGAAGAAACTACGAGTGGGCGCAAGACATGAAGACCAGAAAAGATCAGAAGAGACACCAACAGAGGGAGTGAAGCGTTTCAAGGCTTTCCTAGCAAGGACCGATTTACGGTAGTATACCCCAGTTGCCTCTCGTTGCCGTAAATTCAATTATCAGAACCAACAAACGAACGAACAAACATGAAAGAAGGGAAAAGACGGAGAGAGTGAGGGTAGCAGACCGCTAGCAGGGCCAAAATTTATGTAGCAGAACTGCTAGCAGGGCCAAAGGTTATGTAGCAGACCCCTAGCAGGGACAAAGGTTATGTAGCAGGACCGCTAGCAGGGCCAAAACTTGTGTAGCAGAGCCGCTAGCAGGGCCAAAAGTTATGTAGCACCGCTAGCAGGGCCTAAAGTTATGTAGCAGAGCCGCTAGCAAGGCCCAAAGTTATGTAGCAAAGCCGCTAGCAGGGCCAAAAGTTATGTAGCACCGCTAGCAAGGCCAAAAGTTTTGGCCTGGGGATCCGCTTTGGGGTGAAGGGATCTAGATATACGGTCATATGTGGGGGGGGGCGGCGTAATCCATTCGCCCCCAAAACGGAGCCCCAAACCATTGGCAGATCATGATGCATACCGCACACATTATCATGAAGCGTTTACATGGAAAAACGGTGTAAAGAATAACATGCCTGTAGCGAGGCGACTGTCCTAAAAAGAGGCAGGGGAAGAAGAGGAAGGAAGGAAGGAAGGAAGGAAGGAAGGAAGGAAGGAAGGAAGGAAGGAAGGAATAGAATGCCTGTAGTCAACAGGTCGCCCTAGAAAAGGGAAAGCGAAAAGCAAAAAGAATACATCAAAGTCAAAGCCAAGAGAAAGAACATCATAGAGAAACATGGACTGATCATGCAAAGCCGTGACGTTACATAAAGATAGTGGTAGGATGATCGTGCTAGCTAGGGAATGCACTAAATAGACTGAGCATCGCGCTTGCAAATTTTTAGTCGTCATCAAATGGACGGGATCGCCGTGCACGAATTAGGAGCGCTTTGGCTCCGCTTTGTTGATGTCCACCTGGGGGATGATGTCGATTATCGACAACTTAATCCCCTTTTCATCGCACCACGCCTGCGGGGGAAAGCGAGCATCGAGAGAAGATCGAAACAGAACAAAAACAAAATAACATAATGATTGAAAGTTAGCCTTCGGTCAAATGTACGCGCGCGTTTCGTCTTCCAAATCCCGTGCCTCCAGCCGCTGAATGCGCCATTCTAAATAACCATCGCCCTCCGTGGGGTACAAGTCATTGCCTCAGGACACGTTGCATTAACACGAAGCCATTCAAACGAATTTCATTTTGCCGTTTATAGTGCATTATTTTCAGCCAAGCTGCCTGCAACCACGAGGGCGATCCTGTCGCCGCGACGCGGAGCTTTTGACCATAAGTGCCACCAAAACGCGTCGTTGGAGAAGCTTTTCGCCCACGCCGGGTAGACAGGCAGCCCAAACGACGCTTCAGCTATGGCACTGTCATCGCGATCCTGGACGGAGCGGAGAGTTAAAGACATGAAACGACCTCAAACACTCACGCGAATGGTTAAAGAAATTTCACCCCGCTCCTGAGATAGAGGATCGCGAACTGCCACCAAAGACGAGTCACTGAGAACCATGTCGGGACTCAACTCCTGGAGAAAACGACGTTTCAATTCAAAGTGCGTTTAACACATGACTTACGCTGCCTGAGTTTTCAACTTAGCCCCTTTCCAGCCTCCATCAAAGGGGCGAGAGACCCCGCGAGCGCGACGACCCCCTCCGGCTTCAAGTGGTAGCCGTCGATGTGGAACGGCGTACCTGCAACAAGAAATCAGCAAGCAATGCTCACCAGAGAGAAAAATGAGTTTGTACTTGGGCGTTTTCAGGGCGCGTTCACGTCGGTCCTGGGATCTGGGCAATCTCAAGGATCTCCGCTGCCATTTTGCAGCGTGCCCGGGCATGATCCCTGATCACCTGAGACGTTTCGCGCTCACCAGTGCACGCACAAACGCATCCAAGGTACTATCACATCAAATACGAGTATCACATCAAACGCATCCAAGGTACTTTGATAAGCCGGCATCGTTCGTGAGGCGGGCGCGATGCTCTGGTGGACTTCGCTAATGCTCGGGATTTAAGGCTGCGTCGATCGCGTGACGCGGTTTCCATTCAGCAGTGATTTCCCTAATCACTGATGTATCTTCACTGGTGTCGCGTCGCGCGAATATCGCGAAGGGCGGCCTCTAAATCACCCAGCGGCCGAGCGGTCAGCAGATTCAGCCGTACATATAAAATGGAATCACCGTCGAAACGACCATAACAATAACAAATTCATCAGCTGAAAAGTTATCAAACCAGATGAGCTATTTCACGGCGCGGTGTTGGCTTTCCGCTTGTTCCGCTTAGACCGCTTGGGAGGGCCGGTGGGCTCAACTGGCTTCCAGCCTTCAAAAAAAAGATCATCGCGACGGATGGTCGCCACCGAATGTAAATCTCTAGACTGGACTTCACTCCTGCCGTTAAATTGTACACAGATATTTGCATTCGCAAAGACCTGCGCCATAGCGGCAGTTGCAGCTGAATCTAAAACTTTAAGAGCTTCCCGATGTATAATGTATACGGTATTCTTGACCTGGGTCATGTGAGACATGCCTAGAACCTGAATGACCTGTATTTTGGACCACCACCCACCCCCAAAAGCGGCCTGTTCCTATCAAAACAGGGGTCAGTTGGGTTCTAGGATGTTCTAGGTATGTCTAGAGCTCTAATTGATTACTTTTTAAAACCGTTTTCACCCGAGCTGCACAATGTTCGCCGCCAGAAAGACATTGACGAACTCGGTGAGTTCGACACGGCGAAGCCCGGAGGGAGCAGGGGGGCGGTAGGTCGTTTCGAAGAGCGGGAGGGCGGTAGGTCATAAGGAAGCGTGGAAAGCCACTGGACGAAGTGTTAAAACCGAGATGTTTGTGCTTCGAGTGTCCCAAAATCTGCAATGCCCCTGGATGTTTTTAGAAGGGATAGGTGACCTACAGCCGGCGTGTCGACCTCGTCGCCTCAGAAAAAAGATCAGAAACATGAAGGTCAACGAAGCGAGGACGGCGCGCATTGCGGGGACAACGCTTAAGTAAGGTGGAAACGGGTCGTTGCCCACAGGAAAACGACCAGGGGTCAATGGATTGGTTGAAGGGCCGGGAAACTTTACAGCAAACTATGGTTTTTAGGCTTTTAGGTTAGCGCTTTCCAGTGGATCCCAAAGCACAGATCGAAAAACGCCATAAACACCCGTCCTTCCATAAAATCAACTTAAGTTTGACAAGGCGCAAACCCACATTATTTATAATGGTCGACCGTTGATTCTTTCTGAAACACAAATCCAGATATCCATTGGATCCAGAAAACCTGAAATCCATGTCCAGCACATCCTCCCAATCCGTTTTGATCCAAAGGTCCGTGGTGTCCATCGACTTCGCACTCCATTCCTGAGCATGGAGCGTGCGCATTCCCAGGTGGGCAGGGCGTGCTTAGCCATTGAATATGTCGTCCTTAGGGTTCGCCAACACAAGTTGGTGCCTAGCCATTTCCTGGGATCTCTACCAGCAAAATGGAGCCACCCTACTATTATGTTCTGCTGCCCCGAAGCTGCAGCAATGACCTCCAAGAGCCATTTCGTCGGCATCCTCCATGGTGTTCAAACCGTCACCTGCTCCCTCGAATGCGCGTATCTGTCCCGCGTATCGGTCGACCTCTTGAATCCATGCAACTTCTTCGACCCTTTTCAACTGAACCCGTCCCTTTGAGAAACCCATCACATCGGACCCAGCAAGGATGCTTCCCCTTCATTTGTCCCGTCCACTTCCAGGAGGTCCTCCATTTCGCAAGTCCGATGCTAGCTGAAAAGATCTACGCAGACCTGGAGTCCGAGTTCGTACCTCGGGTTCAATGGGTACTGTTCTTATGGGGTCATGTCCCATTTTCAAATTTACTTGAAGTCGGGTCCAGGTAAAATCGATATCCGTGAGAGGTTCCAGGCTTTCTAGCGCTGAGAAGGAGGCCTGCGCGGCCTGAACACCTACAGAGCGCCTCCGGGAGCCATTCGTTGACTGGTTCCACAGTTGACTGTCCACTGAGCTCTTGGATGGTCGTCGTAGGGCTTCCTCTCACCTCACGTGAACTGAAGTAGTAGTCCCCTCAAGCGTCATATTCCCTCTGAGACTCTGAGCGCCAGCGACTCGATATATGGTTTCCACACCGAAATCGGCGGCTTTTGGGACATCTCGCTCCCTATTGGCTTCAGGGACATCTCGATCCCTGATGGTTCGCAATGGATTGCCGTCTTGCGTGCATCGTTTAGGTTTAGATCCCTTGCCACCGCAGCTGGCAGCGTGTCTCTCGATCATGTTTGTTGGGAGGGCAGCTTGCAGGCATAGCTCGCCCTCTGGCTCCTCCGCTCCTCAGGGTCCCATCTTTCTGCATTTCAACGGTGAATCCCTGCTAGTTTTTATACATAGTGGAAGATGTAAAGGAAGATGCGGCAGGCCTGCACTTTCCAGGATCGCTTTCAACGGTCTGGAGACTGCCGAAGGCATCAAGGGCACTAACTTCAAGCATGTGAACACTCCTGTAGCGCCTGCGAGTCGCCGGAGAGGAACCCGCTGAACACTCGTGCTGCAAAGGTCTCGGAGTTGCGACGCTTTGCCTACCTTTCCTGGACACATTAGGATGTCTGGTCATGTCTGGTCAAAGGCAAGTTCATGGCGGACGCGAACGCCGGATCACCCCTCGCTGTCCACAATTCGGCAAGTTCCAAAAATTTGGGGCTTACACCAACAAACGCAGCAAGCTGAGACCAAAGTAGACTCATGCTGCTGTCCATGGCATCGATTACTTGTTGTATTGCTGATACCTGGAGTCTCTAAGTACCTCGGAAAATTTGTACAAGTACCTGTTTTTATGGGGTCATGTCCCATTCTCTAAGGTACTTTGGAGGGTCCAGGTATGCATGAAATATGACGAAGTGTGGCTACCCCGAAGGCAGCAGTTTTGCTGCTGAAGGTGCAGTCTTAACTGGTTGGCCATGTGCTACTAGGGCCATCGGCACAAGTCATCAAGCCGTGTGTGCTCTGTGCACCCGCGTTCTCTTTCTCCTTAGATCTTCGCTTTTCGCTCATACTGTATGATATGTCATTTATGTCTTTCTTTCTTTCTTTCTTTGGCCGCGGGTGGTGCCGACAAGTCACCACGCAACACAATCCTCTCGCAAAATGAGTGTCGAGTGTCGAAGACTAAGGGAATATGGTGATTTCAAGTGGTCCGCGGCCACTTGTAAACGCACGAAATGATGGACAAATCTCAACAACTGTCTGCAGTCACCCCCTCGGCGCGAAGCCCCTCGTGTCTATGATGGTTGAAAAAGCTGCTCAGGTCGATGTTCAAAGCTCCTCGCTCCAGGCCAGGTCGTTACGGCACATTAGGCCAGGCACGTATAGGTCGTTCAACCGTAGGAATGTGCCATTCTTTTTGGGCGCGTCTTTACGGAAGCCGTTGATGCTTCTGGAAAGAGCATCGATGGCTGATGTCTTGGTGAGCTCTGTAACGGCAAAAGTTTATGCAGGATGTTCGATGTTCATGAGCTTTGTTGCTTAGTCAAGCTCTTTGCAATTCTTGAGTGTGACCCTCAATGCTGGGTAGTATGAACTTTCTGGAAAAAAGAAGTGGGCATTTCAGCGAACATTGAGATGGTACTCCAAGTTCTTTTTTGTTCGAGCCATTCTGGCTCAAAGATTCGGCGGCGCAGGATCCCTTGCTTCTACTTTCGCCAACCAGGCTGGCCGATATTGGTGTTTGCATGCGTGTGTATTATTTGTCACGGGGGCTTTTTTGATTCTGGTGGTGTTCGATGACACGGCAGAAAGTCTCAGTTTCTATGCATGGCTTCGACAGTGATTTGCCCTTGACAAGAGTTAGTCTGCTGGTAACTGCACACGTTTTGCTAATGTTTTCCTCTGCCTGTCAGATAACATGTGTGAGTCCATTTTTTCTGTTGTTTTTGGAATATGTTGACGGACTTCTGTCTTCGGTTCTTCTGTTCCTTTATATAAGTGACATTGGCCTGGCCCATCTTTACGCGTTTTGAGGGAAACATGAACACAAATTGCGCAATGAAAAAACTTTTTCAGGCACCTTCGTTCAAGTAGATCAAGAGACCCAACATCCTAGCCCGTGCTTCTTGTGTGTCAAAGGCCCCTGGCACCTCTGACCTCGCCCCAGGTCCGGGCACCTGAAAGTCTCTTCATCCGGTGCTCCGCAAAGGCCCGAGGGATCGAAGCCTCAGTTTTCCTTGGCAAAAATGGTGGTTAACATGGGTGAAAACCTTGTTCCATCATGAATCATATATTTACTGGGGGACACCCCAGTACTCTCCCCTCAAAAGAGCGAAAGGTGTCCCCTTGTTCGTCCCACGTCTCCCCCCCAAACCAGTGACTTTTGCAGGTGATCCACGCACGGAACTCCGGGCGGGCGTATACCGGGCGCCAGCGCAGACGCGCAAAGCATCACGACGAACGCCTCAACGGTCGCACCCCGGTGGTGTGCGCGGCTCCAACCACTCTCCGACGGCTCGGGACTTGGCCAAGGATCCAATTGCACCCCCATGAAAATGGCATTGGTAATGATCACCTCAGTCGAGCGGTGATGGAGCGGAACCCAAATGAATCCAAATGGAACGAAGACGTGCGACATGACCACGGCATGACCCCTGAGCAGGGTGGGAAGAGTTGTGAGGTCTTGGGTTGGGAGTCTTAGAAGGTGGAGGGTCGACCATACGGACTTACTCATTATCCAGCAGCCGTTCTGCCCCGGTTGTGTCGTCTTGGGTTCGTGAAAACATACTTTTGACACTCAAGCAACTTGTAGGTGTGAGCGATACAAGCAGGTCTTGATTCGCCCCACCCTTCATTATTGACATGTGAAAATGACATCCGCATCGGAGGTAGCATCTCTAATACTCCCTTGGGTCCAAAAGCCGCGGCATTTGTTTCCACCCCAAAAACGGTCCTCCAAACCGGCTTTTGGGGTGAAGTAATCCCCTGTAGAGAGACCCACATGGAACCCCAAAACCATGCCCGGTTTCTGGAGGAAAATTGCCGTCCACCGATCAATTCTCCTTCTTACTACAAGCTTCTTGCCACTCATAGCGATGGCCTCCAACCTACTTGTGATGGCCTGCAACCCAAATAGCATCCGAACGCGTAGCTGGGGGGCCTCTTCATCGGCTCGGAACACGACCAAAACACCGGTGCCGGGGGAAGCCTGTTGTGCCGGTTAGACCACCGGAAAAGGCCGGATCTGAGATCTGAGGCAGTTGTAAGGCGGTTTTCAGTTCGGGCTTCAGTTCTCATCTGATTTTCGGGACAGTCGTTCACCTCCCAGTGACCAGTAGTCCAAAAGAATGGTTTATCCAAAGCTTGCTTGAATCTTACAGAATCCCGAAGGATGCAATCTCAAATCTGGCTCCCCCCTACTAGTATACTCTATAGCAAGAAGCTCCTAGGTGGAGGCCATCGCTACTAGCAACGATAAAGCTCTTTTTGCATGTAAAAAAAGTGCTGATTCCACGAGCCACGCTGTTTTGCAAGTAAAACTTCTGGATCTGATTTTTCGCATGCCGTTAGCAAGCTGTGTGCCCTTCCTGAAAACCCAACCGCAACCCAAAAACAACACCAAGACCCTACTATAGACTTCCCAGACCCTCAAAAATCATGGTTGACCTGGTTTTGTAGCTAGCAGTACACCAAAACCAGGCACGATCTTGGATTCTGGTGGCTTACCAGCTAGCTTCAATGCCCCCCTTCTCCAGGCCAGGCAGAACCGGCACACATCAACCTGCAGTGTTCTTCCTTTCAAGGCACTCCACCAAAGAACACGTTGAAGAAAAGGGAATTGGCCATACGATCCTCGACCGCCGGTTTGGCCGAAGAAGACGGTGACGACCGGAGAAAGCATCGGATCATCCACGCTGCGGAAATCCTTCGACTCGATACGTCTATACCGGCGGCGCCAGGCCAAATGTAGACTCTTGGTTGATAAACCAACCCCCCAAAGTGGAAAATCCTCTTCATATGGGGGGGGTGATTAATCAAGAGTCTACATTAATGACACAAACAGATCCAAAATTCCAAGAGGACCAAGATATGGTATGATAGATGGTATAGACTCATAGACGTTGAGTGACCATCATCTTGGAAATTGACAGGAACTTTTGTTCGAAGAGTTTCGAGCATGAGTGCGAACCGTCAACCTTGGAATTATCTGTATATATTACTGACTATCAGACTATCAACCTCAACATATACCTTAACGAAAGCTGCTCAAACATCCGGTCCCAGCCTTTAAACACCAAAGAGCCATACAAGAAGAATTATAGGGCCTTGGATCGATCGACTCGGAGCCGTCATGATGCTAATACCCCCCCTGAAGAACCTGCAGCTCAGCCGGCCTCCTGAACAATACCTCTACCCAAAAGCCTTGTGACGGGTTTTTCATTAGAACCTCCATTGTACCCAGACGCTCCATGTATGCCATATATGCCGATCAGTTGGGGTGGTTTGGGGGGTCAATGTAAGCATATCTTTTTTGACAGACATGGAGTGTCTGGGGTACATCATTGCACATCCCTGAGGCCCAACGGCCTACCCACGGCTTGGGTCAAAACGAAGCCGCCCAAACTGGCGAAAGCACGTCCGAGGCACACAGAACTGGCTCACGGGAGAACACATTTGACCAAACCATGTGCCAGCTGAGGAGGCGTCCTGGAAGACATAGGACCAGGTCGGGAGACGTGGCTTTTGGGAAAACCTTTGGACCCACCCACACCACTCAACCATCAATTCAGAAAGGTTGACCTGGAATTTTGCAATTAGTTTATAGAACCCTTATAGTAATACAATGATTGCTTGGCTGGGCAAACACCTTCGAATCAATGGTGGGCCAGGAAGGTTCTCATAGGTTCTCCATTTTGCAGTGCCGGATATTGCCTGGGTCATGTTCTTCTAGGTTGTCGGATACCACCCTAAGAAAATGTGCCTGCATTATTGGGGTGGTAAGTTTCGGGGGTAAAGAACTATATGGTCCAATGCGCGAGAAATGCGGCAGTCCTCACAGCTGCCTTCCATTCAACCAGCAAACGAAAAAGGTAAAGCGGCTTTGTGTAGACTGATCTGATCGTCCAAAGATACCATAAATAAGGCAATGATTGATAGGCCAACAAGATTTGTCGAAGGGATTTTAGCAGTATCAAAGAACCAGCCCCTTCATGGTCTTCGAACCAACCTTCACTGACATCCTCTCACAAGCTCAGTTCAATCCCAAACCCTGCTACACCTTCCGGCTATTTGTCTTTCAGCCCTTTTCTCCTTAGGTCCTTTGTAACATTGTACATCTTGGTTCACTGTCGGGAGCTCGCTTTGCTTAAGAAGGAAGAGTTCTCTCACATTGCATCAAACCAGGGGGACCAAAACAACAATAACTTCTACGAAACTGCTTGGATCCAAGTGGGGGACCCAACACCTGCGGAGGGAGAAAACCAAGAAACAAACAAAAACATGTTCGCACGCCCCCTGCCCCATTTTCCGGCTCGCAATTCTTGAGAGAGGGCTGGCTCCTTATCCAAGGACACCATCTTCTTGAAGCGCTTAACCTTATCCCCCATCACCTGCAGCTGTGGTCTGTGGCACGACGCTGTCGACGCCGTGGCGGCACCGCCAGATCGAAACCGAGATGACCACGGTTTCAAGGAACAGCATAGACTACCCGACATGGTCAACCGGTTCCGTGGGGTTTTCGTTCCGGGCGAGAAACGGCCATGGACAAACAGAAGCTTGGTCCAGTGAGTGGGCCTTTCACTCCGCGAGTGGTGACTGAACCTTCACTCAGGACACCGAGGAGTGACCTCTCAGGACACGGAGGGGTGACCGGCACCTGGTGAACCATCGAAGAAACAAGGAGGGTGAGGTCGGGTCCGGGTGTGAATGATCCAGGCTGGATGATGTCAAGGGATCCAGTCGTACCGAACCTCAGGTACGGTGATTGGAGACACTCCTATGTGGGTTTTGAGGGTCCAGTCGTACCTTCTGAAGGTACGACTGGACCCCTAGGGATCGTCAAGGTCTAGGGACTGGACATGCTCTGTCGGCCTTGGCAACGAAAGGCACGCACCCTCCAGACCGCGCCCGGCTTGGCCCCACCGGTCCGGTGGTTTTCGGACGCATTTTGCCGTACGGACCATGGGTTTCTTAAGCATGAAGCAGGCACAGTGAATCATCATGAATCAGCCTGGAGTCGACCCGGAACTCGTACCTCGGGTTCAATGGGTACAGTCGTACCTGTTTCTTATGGGGTCATGTGGGTTCCCATGTCCCATGTCATGTGGGTTCACTGGCTCAGTCGGGTCCAGGAGGTCATTGGTCCAATCTCGCCAAGCAAGATGTGTTGTTTGTTCTCCAATGTCCCAACATGTGTGTTGTTGATTTCTCTGACGAGGCGTTGGTGGACACCCAAACCTGCTAGAGGCATTTGGGCAGCCTTTATCCGCATCTCTTAGTACTCAAAATCAATCGTCACCACATCTCGAAAAGCATCCCCAAAGCATGGCGTGAAAAGGAACATAGCGCGACTTGCGAAGCCGTCCAAGCCACAGCTCGTGAGCAGTGGAATGAAAAGGATTGAAAAGGAACATAGCAAGTGAACGGGTGATTCTTTACTGACCTGTCGCTGGCACGATGCTGTCGAAGTCGATTCTACTCGTTCTCGAGGACTCCAAAAACCGTCCTGGTTTTGACTCGTTCCAGCCGACCCTCCGCTGGATAGTTCTCCGGTTCCCCAACACGAACTGGGGGTACCAGGGGCCCCACAAACCATCAAAACCTGGTGGTCTCTATAGCAACAATGCACTTGCTTTTTGTTGTATGTGACAACCTTCTTTGCTTGTCAATAGGTTTTAGCGCCGCTGATAAACCCCGAGATTCTGCCACACTTCTACTCCATGAACCGAACTCTCATCAGCCTTCGCCGACTGGTAACGATGCTCCTGCAGGGCGTCGGCGGGACCCGGGACCCTCGCGGGCCCTGGACGGTGGTGCCACTCATCCGTTCGGGAAAATCCCTACACCCTGGACCCTGAAATCGTCAGTGGAAGTGGATATCGCACCTGTTTGGTATGAGCATTGGTGCGTCAGTCACCCTGAAACCATGTCAAGGACTAGCATCACCGTCCGAAACGGAAGGATCGGACCCAACACCGAAACGCAGGGGGTCGGGATCCGAACCTTACCGATTCCTGGGAGAGCAAGCTGCAAGCTGCTGCAAGCCCAAAGGTCCACAGCCCACCCGCAACACACTGATCAGAAGATTTCATAGCCTTGCTTACAATTGCAACCAACACCTGATCCCATACCTAACGGCCCATACCAGTCTTAACATGTCGTAAAAATCTCTCTTACATCGAAACACGGCCTCTCAGCTCTCTCTCGAACTCGCTCTCCTGCGTGGTGGCCCGGTTCAGCTTCTTCCCTCGCGCCACCGTCGTTTCCGGCGCCGGCGTGGTTCCCGTCGCGGGGGCACTGCGTCGGTCGCGGGAGTTGTTGGAGGCCACGTGCGTCACCGGCGGCGCCAACACGCTGCCACCGACGGGCTCCTAGCGGCGCACGGGAGCTCGGAAGAGCTGGTGCTCGGAAGAGCTGGTGCTCGGACTGGGCGGAACGGGAGCTCATTCAATGAGATCAAAATGATACGACTCCAAGGAGGTCAAGAAACATGAAAAGACCCGATTTGGACCTCGAAGGGTCCAAAGACCTTCTGACAAGGTATGTGCACGTGGATCCATAGGGAACCTACACCATACCCCAAGAGAGTGGCACGATCTGGATCAAGTCATCAAGTCTGCTGAATATATCGAGTGCCCGGTCGGAACATGCGTGGCCTAGATGACATGCGGTCTTGCGCAACACCGTTCACCTCACCTGCGTTCACCTCACCAAACCTCAAGCAGAAACCCTTCGGAAGCGCCAAAGATCCTTCCAACATAGGTTGAAGAAACCTATATACTATAGACTATCGCATAGGGGTACCCCAGTAGGCGTCCTATAAGGTCACTTAACCTCTTTGGTTTACAGAACTAAGCGGCTGGGACTGGGGAGTTACATTCATGAACTTCTGGTTGGGACTGGGTTTCCAGGCTGCTTGACTCCCCAGATTTGTTTCACATGGATCCTGAATGGACGAATTAGCAGCACAGGGTCAACCCATCCCATGGTTTGGAGGTCATGGTATTGACCCACATCCCATGTCCAGTCCAGTCATTCATTGGAACCTCCCAGATCCTCCCAGTATTGATTTGGTTCTTTGAGCATTTCGACCCCTCTTCTGTAAGGCCAGACACAGCAAGCCTTGCCGCTCTTGACGGGGAAGCTAAGAAAAGTCAGAAGTTTTATTCTCTATATAATCGATACAATTCCAACCAAGGACAGCGAGCAAGCACCTTGCCAAAAGGACGTCTTGATTGAGCACGAGCGTCCAAATAAAAGGCCTTAGGGATCCTGGCATTAGGCTCCCCCACACCCCACAACAACATCTTTGGGTGGTCGACATTTACTTTGGAGCTCTGATTCAGCAAAAAATACAGTAATCCTAACCAACCTGATTCCCTCCCCACTTTCTGGGCAGCCCTGGCCAGAGGCGACGCTGGCGACATGGGCGAGCTGGGCACCAAAGGCTTGATGTCGGCGCTGTAGCCACGCTCGTTCACCTGCGGTGGACGACGGTCTCCAGTGGGCGGAGGTGAGGTGAAACCGGCGCGACTGCAACCAGCAGCCTCTGAGCCTTCGTATGTCCATAGAGGTCGGGTTAGGTTCCACCCGGAGCAAGGTAGTAGTAATACCTTGGACCTTGCGGGTGTCCTATGAAACTGGTTATATAGTGCTGTGGCTATGGTGAACCGGGACCAACATACCAAGAACATCCCCAAAAGCTGTGAGCATCTTCCAACTAACTGCTGCAATGATTGGCAATGATTTCCAAGGGGCCTGTTCTTCAAGGCCCAGTTGGAAGGGGCCTTCGTTTTGACACGTACCGCCATAACCCGACATTTCAACGCCCAGTGTCATGGTGAAAGCACTCCTTGGAGTTGCTGTTCAAAATGCAACTGTTTGACTTTGCCAGTGCCAAAGACATAGTATCTCATCAAAAACCGGTAACAAAAACACGATTCGCCACCCGGGGATTCGCCCCGTTCGGGCACAATAAACTAAAAACAAGTCCCACATGCTACGTCTGTACATTGCAGAGGGCCTCGCTCGACCGAGATGCTCCACCTTCCCATCCCGACCTCATAGAGGAACGACGAGGATTTGGGCCGCGCGCTGTTCAGGAAGCCGCTGCTTCCTCACGACCGACCAGCAGAATCCAACGACCGCGCTGGGTCGGAATCCCACTGGCAGCTTTGGGCGATCAAACGGTTGATTTCTTCGTTTTTGTCAGGGTTGGTGAGTTCTGGTGGGTTCTGGTTGCAATAGGTCCAGGCCCGAACCCAAGAGAATGAGGATGTCTTCTCTAGATCCCAGTGCCATTTGAAGCATCCAATAATCCAATACTCTTTTGCGTGCTTCTGGATTCGTGCGACTCAGTTCGTGTGACTCAAATCCAAGTCGAGGGCTCGTTCATGCTTTCGCCCCCTGGACGTCCCCTCCCCCCCGATTGACGAACCAGGCCTGACCGAAGCTATGAGAACTGCATGACGAACATATCGAAGTGAAAGTGGGTAGTTCCAAAGACCAAACAGGTGGTGAATTCCACGAAACCATGCGATGTGGTCGGAGGCTACTGGTTTGAACACGGAAAAATGGTGACCTGCCTGGATTTTCTTTGAGGCAGAAGACCAGAAATCATCTCGATTGAGTGGGTGGTTGACAGACTCCGCTGACCATGTCTTCACCCTCAAAGAAAACAGTCCCAACCAGAAACAGTCTGGTTGTTCCAATATGGCAATGGAGATCCTTTACAATAAACTTTACATAGGAGTGGCCGAGACTGGGGAAACAACCAGAACTGACTGGGTTCCAGGGCCTTCCAAGAACGGTGGTGCCAGCAACCTGCCCAAGCTTTCAGATCTTGCCGCGCCTGTGGTGTGGCTGCCCTGGACAGCAAAAAGCGGGCGTCCACATGTGGTTGAAAATAAATATGGGGTGACGTATGATTTTGGGGGGGCCAGGGTTCATCTCAGGCTCCTCCGACTGCTTGCAAGCTCTTGGCAAATTTGGGCGTGGTTGAAAACGGGAAAGAGGAATCTGGCTTCGAGTCTCGAGTGGGGTCGTGACTTGCTTCATTTTCCAAATAAAGGCAGGCGTCAGACCCGACACCTTCGCCCCTTGCGAAGGACCCGAACCCAAACCCTGCATTTTTGAGGGCTTGGGTTCTTAGGGTAGAGAAAGCTTGCCTGTATTGGAGTGCTAAGTTTGGGAGGTCATATAGAATTTTACTTTGTAGGTTGGTTGCTAGTAGGGTGGAGGCCATCGCTATTAGCTTCGAGGTCATAATCTGGGTTTGTCAGTCATTCTTCCACTTTCAATTGCACATCCTTGATGCTTGATGCTCACTCACTTCTTTGCCTCACCCCACCGGAGTGACTCCGCGACGGAGCCCAACCCACCACAGTTTGCCTCTTCAAAAGCACAGAGAGTTTGTTCGCATGACCACAGAGTCAGCTTGGCGCCTCAAAGACATGGCAATGAGTCAGCTTGAATTCCAGCCGGTGAAGCCAGGAATCGAGGTGCCCCAACCTCAGTGCGATCAGTCGACCGGGCACTCTGCAAGCTTCAACGCAAAGGTTAGAATTTGTAGAGGCTTTTCCGGCTTCCAGGCCAAGCAATAGCCATCAATAGCCGCCTGTTCCTCCCGAACCAGCTCCTGAATGAACTTGATATATATATATATATATATGTTCAAGCCAGGTCTTTTCTATTTTTAACATCCTCAGAAGGTGTTCGCGGGCTTCTTCTGACCCAACTCAGAGTCGGGAGTGGAGGGTCTGCATGGAGCCCAGCACGTGGAGAAGCTTCAGGCTAGCTTGGAGAGCTTGGAGAGCTTAGGAGTTAAGAGGACCTCATGAAGTGTGGGACCACAAGAACCTCGTGGGACCCAGGCTTCTTAGCTTAGGACCTCTTAGGAGAGCTTAGGAGTTAAGTGTGAGCACAGCAGCCTGGGACCATAGTCGTCCTGGTCCCAACCAATCCCGGAGCAGTCGGACACAGTTGGACATAGACTCTTCACCGAGGCTTCTGTTTCAGAAAGACCCATGGAGAAAGACTCTGAAAGGGGCCGGCGGCCGGGCTAAACCCTCAAGTTGAAGCCACTGGTGACGGCAAGCCACATCTCTTCATGCAGCATCGACCACCTCTACTGTACATCCGGCCTATGGTCCAAATTGACTGCACTGGACCATCATGGACCCAACGAGGACTGCACTGCCACATCTCCGCGATCCGCTCGACGAAGCGAGTCTCGCCCCGTGTCGCACCGTGTCAGGTTAGGAATTCGACGAATCTGATTTCTACACCAAAGCCCACTATTTCACTAGAGTTCACTTAGAGTTCACTCTTCAGAGCATCTTCACTATTTTGACACTATAGTTAGAGTATTTTTTGGTTCCTGCTCTTCGGGCTCTTCGGGGTGTCTTCTCAGCTCTCCCAGCCTGAGCATGCGCTGGGAGTCTTTCACAGAATCGGGCCCCCTGTGCACCGAATCGTTTCCCGAGTTCCAGCCGCTTCCAACGTAAAAGATCTCAAGCTGCCGCCAGATGGGTGTGTATTTGAATGAGATCCTGTGGCCCTGGCTGGGTAGACCCCTCTCTTTTCCTTTCCAGGGAACTGGGAGGTCTCTCTATTCTAATACACACCCGTATTGGAACAACTATCTGTTTTTATACCAATATTGGAACCACGATATATTTCTGCTTGGGACTGGTTGCGGATGAATCGATCAAATCCCACATCTGGATGTTGAGTACTTGATCCCGCATCCACAGATCCGCGATCCATCCCTTCGTCAGGAAGCCATTCGACATGTTGTCGTTGTAGGACCTGCGAACCGACATGCGAAGAACAAACATCTCCAACCCGGGCTGAACACCATTGACCCTGGGAGTAGACTATGAAAAGAATGGTTTTTAATGTGACCTGATAAGACGTTTCCTTGATACTTCAGTCGGTCCAAATACAGTCTTTGCACTTCTTCTAGGGTTGATGTAAAAGGTGGACGCCCCGTGGCAATCGTGGATGGTGAAGGCTTCTGCAGTGTCCTGATTGAATATAGTCCTGATATCGAGTGACATGTCCCGATACTCTTTGGGGCTGGAATTTGGAGTGGGGAGCTACATGGCTTATAAATAAACGCATGCAAAACCTCGTCTCCTCTTCCAAAAATATCCAGGATCCGGACTCGGAGGATGGAGTGGCCTGAATGATCATGCTTTAACAAAAGTTAACGCTCTATCTCTTTCAACAGGCTTCTGATCATTGTCCAAAGTGAATGAGGGTCCATCCAAAGCGCAGTTTTGGGGGAATATGCTGCAACAGCGTCCAGGATCTGGGATTCCAACAACTAGTCGGCCAGTCGATCGAAGTGATCCTGTACTAGTATAGTATCCAGTCGAGAACAAGCCTCAAGTCGCATGAAACAAATATAATGAAAGGAAAACTCAAGAAATGGTTCTTAGATTGGTACCCATAATTGGATCCAATTAAGAATCATTTGGTGTCACATCAACTCTACTGAGCTGCAGGGGGGCTCCAGAATTCGTTTGTCCAGTGGCATTCCCAACAATTGCAAGCCTTCTCTCAGCAGTCCAATGGACAAGAAGGCTATAGCAGACTCCAGGTCCAGATTCGAGGAATCTTCTGTTGGCAAAAAAACACACAACATATAAGGCAAAAAAGTGTCTCAAGAAAACACCCATGCTCAAATACATGTGGAAGTGTCCCAGCGGATGTTGCTTGGAGTCCTTCTGCATTTCCACACCGGGCGATGAATACTCTACTGTATTTTGTGAAAATTAAGTAACTCTCGATTACCTGGGATACATCGGAGCCCAGGAGCCCCGTTGAAACAACGTCCTAGCGAACGGCTTGGTCCTCGGTCTGACCACCCTAGTCTTCGAACACCGTGGGTTTCGTAGTTTAGAATCTAAAACTTAGTAAAACAAGGACAAATCCTCCCCGTTGCTACCGAGAATGGCCAATGGCCAATACAAAATATAGGTTATAATGGGTCAGAGATGGTCAGAGGTGCTTCAAGTCGTTATATAAGTATGAAAAATGCTTGAAACAATGCAATTCTATGACAAGTTAACTAAAATGGGTTTGGAAGTCATGACTTCAAAAAAGTGACCGTGACGGACATGTAGTAATAAAAAAGTAATATGACATGGGTTGAGCAAACCTAAAGGTTGGCATACACATGTAAGAATAGCCAAAGGGATAATTTGGCTGAGCAAACCTTTCAAGTTTCCAGTACCATAAGACTCATTCTACTTTTTTCGTAAATGAGTCAAATAAAATGAACCAAAACATACAAAACGTGGTTTTCCCCACGCCCATTTTAGGTCGATCTGTTTCTCCATCCGTGGGCCTCTCACTGTGTCTCGCCTCTTCAATGGCACTCGCTTCCAACGCTTCCAAGTTCACCGCCATGGCTTGGATGCCCCCCCAGTTGTCGGGATAGGATCCGAGAACGCGACGTGATCCGGGGTCGAACTATAACTAATATTATATATATATATATATGTTCTATACAGGTCTTCAGGAATTCTGTTCTTTTCAGTTCAGGGTATAATTCTGTGAATCATTGCTCGTTCATACTGCCAGGTTGGACGTGCTGCCTTTTTGAGACACAAGCGCGATGCCCAACAGAAGCTACCTAATGCGCCGTTCCTTGCCCTAAAATTTGCTGGTTCGGACCGGTTTCTACAGTGATGTTGGGAAAATAGACAAGAGCCTTACCTGTCCCCAGCCACGTGACTTGCCTGAAGACACTCCACAGTCCGTACGTGCCGTCTCACGCGCCTTGCCCAGAGCACAGGCGGCCAGAGCCACAACGAGAAAAAGAAAACGCACCACGACCGACACGGCGTTCGAGCCTCGCCAACCTCACCTGGTTTGAAAACCATGGGGAACTCTGCACCTTCGGTCGAACGAACAGTCTTTCACCGAAGTACCACAAGGTTCGGTATGTGGATTCCATTAGGGATACCATCATATCCTCTTGGCCCCATCTTCAAAGGGTCTTAGCTCTCGTTGGGACCCCTGGCTTCCTTCGGGTCCACACCTCGACCCCATGCCTCGAGGTCGGGTGAGGTGTCGCTTCGCTTCGGGAAGGCCCTGGAAAGGTCGGTCAAAACCATAAGGCACGTTGGAGAAGTCCATCCTGTTTCTGCTTGGGCCTTGGGTTTCCAGAAGGTATATACCTGGAGTGGGGTCATGTCCCATTTTCTAAGGTACTTTGGAGGGTCCAGGCAGAAATTCATGGATGTGTCCACAGTCCCAATATATGTCCCAACCACTTGCTAATGTCAAGGATCTCAAGCTGGGGCGCGCGCGCCAGCGCGCGCTCCATCTTCGAACATCCCAGCTTGTGTCCGGTGCATCTGGGAGTTGGATGAGTACGTAACTGGGTCACCAGGCCGCCTGCGAAAGTTCCCATGATGAAGCTTCAAACGCAGATTCATCGGCTTCTGCACATATGTTACCAACTCAGAGGGCGGCTTCGTTGGGTTTACTGTAAAGCTTCGCATGTGCGACGTCGGGTGAAAACAGTGCTCTCCCTCCAAGAGTTGTGTTTGACAGTGAATCACACTGAGGAGGTGTAGGGGATAGCAGTCTGGCGCAATCGTGATACATGAGTGGCCTAAATGGCCAAACCACTGAAGATGTACTTGTCGCAGATCTCCAACGAATTACATCGTTGCATTGATGTCCAAACCCACAAGAATCTGGGCTATAAACCCCTTGGCTTGGATTTGCTTCAAGGACCGGACGAATGTGAAACTATTCCCCCAGAAGGGGCTTGGGAAAATAGACCTCACCCTAAGCAAAAGCAGGTTAATGAACAAGCCTGAGCGGCTTCCCCCCCAGCCCCCCCCCCGCCGCGTGTCTCCTTTTTGGGGAGCACCGGCTTTCGACGGGTTGCTCGTTCTGGAACCCCCCGCAAAGCGGGTTGCCGCGGTTCCCGGGACTGCTCGGGTGGGCCTTTCTTTGGGGCCATGGCATCCCAAATGTTGAGGTCACATGGTTGGGAGTGGAACTAGCACCAGTTTCCTCCTCGTCGCGGGTTCATGAGACGATGGAGCAAACCAAAAACGATGAGAGGTGTCTCAGAACTGAAGAATCCTTGGACTCGAACCTCAAAGGCGGAGCCTGGGGCCTTTTGGAGAACCAAACCCTTGCCATGTGGCCTGGATTAAACTCCGGGCAACTTGGGCAAGGTGGGTACCCAGTGGACCGGATGGTCCTGTTGAATGGGAATCTTCGAAAGGGCACCCGTTTGGCTCCAAAGGCGGACAGTGAATCACTAGGTCTATCCAGATAGAGATCGATGCCACCGCCCCATGCAGCCATCCCCCATCCCCAAGTCGAGGGTTCCGATCCAAGATGAGCGACTTCATACGTCCGGACATAGCAGTTCCAAACGGGTGCTCTGTTAGAGGATCAGGGTGCCCCTGTCACATCCACGGCCACTGGGGCAGGATAGCCATTCCGACATGGAACTGCAGGAAAAAGGACATCTCTTCATGTCATTTCGATCCTACGAATCCTGCAAATCTTCATGCCATGTCTCAGACAGTTGTCGAATCCAAAGAAAAGAACGATAAGTCGATGAGTGATACAACGGTTTCAGAGTGGATGGCACTGGCACCCAAAAATACAGACCTAAACCACCGACCTTAAGGTAACTTGTGCCATCGAACCTGTGAAACCAGTGTACCTGGATCCTCCAACTGCAACTGTGCAAAGTGTTTACATAAAATGGCTGGTTTTTGAGATGAAAAGGCAGAAATCCTGCATAGTTGCTAGATCTACTGTGATCTGTACGATGGGGGTTGAGTCATCTACATGCCATGCTCCAATGTCCCACCAAGCCAGGAACCCTGTCCGCGTCCCTGTCCGCGCTGCATCGACTCGATCATCCTCCAAAACCCCCATTCTCCGAAGTATACATCCACAGAAAAAGGACACGAACCAGAGCCCCTTTGTAGGCCATGTTGAGGTCCAATCGCCAGAAACTGAGGGGTTGTCTCGGATGCTTCAGAGGCTTAGTCCACCCAACTCCCACTCCTGGCGTTCGTTCCAAAGATCCGGTCCGGTCCGGCGTTCGGGTGTGGCGTTCGGTCCACACACCAGGTGCGTTCAACGGCAAGTCTTCACAGCTGTTGGAATCACAAGGGCTACACCAACTGGCCTGGTGGAACCTCATACATTCATCCAGCAAGAGTCGTCCACCCAAATTCCGAAACAGAAGTTTCAATGTTAGACACAGGGCCAACGAGTGCATGATTCCATAAACAATGATCTGCCAGCACCCCGGCACCCAGGCTGTTGCTCCAGAAAGGCTGCGAACGGTGCGAAACCGTGTCAATAACCCAAACACTCCATGTATGCCATATATGCCTACTTTGACCCTCCAAACCACCCAAATGTAGGCATATATGGCATACATGGAGTGTCTGGGTAATAGGAGAACATAAAAGAGGTTTGGAGAGCAAACTTGTTTGGCAACCAGCAGTTTTTGGGAACTGGCGTGAATTCTGCACAATCGATCTTGTCCACCTTGACCGGTGTTGGCAGTTCAAAACAAGAAGTAGCGAGGTTATCCTTGGCCAACTACAAGCTGAATGTATCACAGTGAGATACATCCGAGATTCCTCTGAAAACCCTTTTGCTCTTTTTGCGCCATGAAAAAGAGCTCGTGATGGACGAGCTATAGGGTATTGTATTTTCAATCTCCAGGGCAGAGGTTGGATTTGTTCTCACACTTTCTGGAGACCAATTTGGATGTATTAAAATAGGGAGACCTCCCAAAGACCCCTTGGAAGAAGGAAAATAGACTAAAACCCGTTGGTTGGGTGTCTCCCTATTTAAATACACACCCCAATCTTCCCTCTGTGTCTTCTGTGAACCCAAATAATTCCCCTTCGCAGCACGGGCATGCACGGTCTCAAGGGACTAATAGACCCACTGGCGGCGATGTGCTGATCAGGCCTGGGATCTTTGGAAAGATAGGTGACCGACTTGATACTGCTGAGGTCTGCAAACATAGCAGTGAACTCCTTGACCCTGAACAGTATGACCTCTGGACCCTAGAGAATCATGTTCTTCAACCTGTTGACCTTGATCATGTCCCTGAACTCCTTGACTAATTCAACCTAGTGAATCCTACCAGTAGAACATCATTTGGGAACTCATGAAGGATTCTCCTCTAAGAACCCCTCCGTGGTTCGATTCGCTTGGTCCAGCGGGTTACGATGGATCGTCTGCCCGACAATGAAGTCCACTTCACACGGATGAGTTTTTTCATTGGAATTAAATCTGGCTACCTTAAGGCACATGAACTCGGAAACAACCAACCTAAAAGCGATGGCCTCCAACCTAAAAACGATGGCCTCCAACCTAACAGCGATGGCCTCCAACCTACGAGCCATGCCCTCCAACCTAAAAGCGATGGCTTCCAACAAAAGCCATGGCCTCTAACCTACTAGCGATGGCTTCCAAGCTACTAGCGATGGCCTCCAACCTAAAAGCGATGGCTTCCAACCTACTAGCGATGGCCT